TATGAAGAGCTCTCAGTACTTTGCGATAATTAAAACCATGCACGTTATACAAATAGATTCCATACTTCGATCAGGGAGTCATCACGAAATTAGCAGAAGGCACAAGTCCTGAAAAGTTTTTGTCGTTTTCAGAATACCAATAATAAGTGGTTCCGAAAAATGGAATAAGAAAACTTGGAAGAAAAACAACTGCGCACCAAGTTCCTTCAGTGGTTTGTCATAATCCTCGTCGGTCATCATTTTACGAGGAAACGGCATAAGAAGCGAAAAGGGCGCCCCATTCGAGTGATTTATCTCCAACCAAAGCCGCACAGCAGATAGCTGGAATTTGTGGGGTCGTTTCAAACAAAGCAGCGATCTTTATAACAAAAGCATAGTAAAATTTTGAAATTAGAAAATTAATCAACGGAGATTTCAGTCGTGAAATAAACGGATAAAGTCATCGCCGCTCTGATCAATCCTTTGTGGGATGCGGCACGCATTCTACTTCCATTCAGAATCGTAGTGGCTTATTGAATGCGATGTGGCCTATACAATGACTTGCGGGGCCAGCCGATGTACAAGTCAGTGTGCTTATCCTCCCAGACGATTCTGGTACCAAACTACCGTCCCCAGACGGAAGACGGCGTGGTTGGCCGGGACAGAAACAGAGAAGAAGATTCGAACACTGGACCGCGCGCGTGGTAAGCGTGCCATTGCCACTATACCACCTACGCCTCAATAGATACTGCTGACACTTACTCTATACATACGGACACTCCTCTCAATGCTATTGTGTTCCGAATCGAACCGTCGTGGCTGGGAATAGCTGGTGTCTCCTATCATCAGAGCTTCAGACTTCAAGAACCTGTTATCGACCGCGAAAATCATGTACCAGCTCCAGGGCTAGGCTGTAGGCGTCCTTGAGCTCGACCTCGACAAAGAATGGCTTCGGTAGAAGACAGCAGTGACTCACGACCTCCCTGCGCTCCGCCATTTCACGCGCTCCTCTGGAATCGCTCTGCAAATTTCCCAAAAATCTTTGTCGTCGAGCAATAGGGAATGATAGAAACCTCTGATCAACTATCAGATGGTCGCGGTTAAAAAAAAAAACTTGGAACAAGCTTTGAAAAAAAAACATTTTCATCTGTTCTAAGCTATCTAATCTCTTCTTATACACCAGTATTAGGGTCAGAAGCTAAGAATATAATGTTATAATACAATAATATTAAAATTTTGGTTAAGCGGAGATAGTGTAGTGGCAAGTGGCGCCACTTACCACAAGCGTGGTCTGGGGTTCAAAGCCCGGATCGGCCTAACCCTGAGCCAACCGAGTTTTTCGTGCCTGCGGGGAAAGCTAATTAGTAGTAGACTCGTCTAAGAAGATAAAAAAGTCGACTTCTACATTGGCAGCCCTCACCCCACCCGCAGGTCTCCCTCCTGCCCACCCACCCCTCTCCCACCCTCCTCGGAGTGCATCATCGCCGTAATCTTCAAAATTCTGTTCCAGCAACGTATTTAATCAACCAACCTCATCTTTAGAGTGCCCTTTTTAGGAGTACTTGATTTGAGCAAACGTTTTTAGGCACAGTTCAAAACTTTTGGTAAAGCTATTAAAAAGCGCGCGACTTGAGCTTACTCGAAATTTTTTCCGCGACCGATACTAGCTTTGCCGCTTCCCCAACTGAAGTGAGTGGAGTATATAGCGCGGGTCAACTGGCAAAATCGCCACTTGAAAAAACTCTCTCGAGGCCGCAACGATTCCTCTCCCCGACAACAGAAGACGACCCCTAGTGGGTTTTCGAACAATGACGCTGTATCCTTGGGCCTGCTTCTGCCTTTAGAAGATTATCTCAATAATAACTTAATTTGGATCTTCCATGCTGTAACTGATTACACTACGTGTCGTAAGTTTGATATGCGCCATGAGTGAAGAGTTTAGCCCCTCTTCCATGCTTGTAAGCGTCTGTACGATTCAATTCAGTACTGACCAACATACCCTCCATAATGTACAAAATGATTACCGGTTCAGATGCTCCGAAACTCTGGCGAACTGCTTGACCGGAAGGAAGACGAACCTATACAGTAGTACTTGTACACTGCCCATTTCAAAGTGAAAAAGTAACAAGCACACAAAGGCATCACCTGAATCATAGCCTCTTTGTAGTCGGTTTTTTGTGCAGGCGTCGAGTGCTTCGTACTAGCTGGAACAGCAGCTGGCGCGGAAGGCTCAGGAGGCGGAAGTCCGCTGGCCTTGGCCTTACGCGTTTCCTTAAATAGTACACATAAATGGTAATGTCACCATACAGCTATAAGATCCTACGGCAAGAGCGGCTAATAAATTATTTCGGTAACAGTAGAGGTTTTCTTTGGAATCATAGGTATGTCAAAGGTGAGGGGAAATTCGATAAGTTCAGAGTTCTCAGCGGATCATAGCGGTATTTATCAAGGAAGCAGTAGAAGGACCCGTTCGCGGGAACGACTGCTAACTCAGAGAAAAGGATAGTCTTCGCTGCTGATCAATCCCTTTGTTGGGATGCGCACGCATTCTACTTCCATTCAGAATCGTAGTGGCTTATTGAATGCGATGTGGCCTATACAATGACTTGCGGGGGCCAGCCGATGTACAAGTCAGTGTTTTATCCTCCCAGACGAATCTGGTACCAATTCACCGTCCCCGGAGGGTAGAAGGCTTGGTTGGCCTGAGCTAGGATTTGAACCCAGGACCGCGCGAGTGGTAAGTGCACCATTTATCACTACATGACCTCCGCTGTACTGCTAACTTTTTGAAACTCAGTTTGGATGGACCAGGAAGCAATCAATTGAAATACTAAGAAGTAGTTGAATATCTGAGCGCCAAAAATTCCAAATATTGATTTTTCTTCCATGGTTTAACTTCCTCTCAGAGAATAACGGAGCTGATGATGTACAGCGGTGCAGCTTCTATTATCAGGTTGATGCATATGTTTTCAACTCTGTATTTCGTTTGCATGGATGCTGGTATTTCGTCATCA